AGTAACCTAGGGTTTTTTCCGCAGTTTCTAGGAGAGCAAGTTTTATTTTTCCGAAGATTTTTTTGGAAAAAATCTTTTGGTCAAACCCTCACACGTTGAGATTTCTCTGATTTGGTTACGGGGTTTGATAGGTTTTATCGTTGCCCTTTTGTTTAGACGGAGAAATCGCGAGCTCGTTTCGTGCTTGGTGAAGAGTCGTGATTAGGTTTTTGATTTTCTTAAGTAATACAGTGTTTGCGTGCACGTTGGCTATAGGAGTAGTCGCTTCTGGATTTTCTTTTACCAGCATTTTTGCGAGTTGTGACTGTCTTTCATATATCCAGACATCGTTTTGATCAAGCGTTTTGCGGCTATGAGTAAGAGTAATCTGACCCCCCCCCCTCCTTCTAGCGCCAAACTGTGGGAACCGAAACTCACACTATCGATTTCCGTAAAAAAGGAAACTTAGGAAAACCCTAATTTTCCAAAGGACCCGGATCTCTGCGAGAGCCAACGACAAGTAACCAAATAATTGCGGAAAATATGAAAAACATGATAAAACGATTTTATAAACAAAGTTGATCTTATTTCGAATTCGCGTAAGAGCGTTGCGATCTTTACAAGAGATTACAAAGGCTTTAGCCGCAGGGGCTGTCAGCGAGTTTCCTAGTTCTAACAACATAAAACCCTAAACCTATTTGAGTCGCAGCTCGATAACAAAAGACGAAAAAGAGAGTTTGATTAATTTCGGACTGAACCTTATGAAAGGCTGCCTACGTAACCCTTTCGAGGATCAAGTCAAACATAGTTCAATTGGTAGAGCTGTAAAAGAGATCGAACTTCCTAGGCGAGTTCATCTAGTGATTGAGTGCCAGTCATAGATCCAAACTTGTCGAGAAATAAGCCTAAGTTTCTAAGTGCAGAGAGTTATGAGTCTAAAAGGGTTGTGAAAATTGTCCTCTTCTTCTATCCTTGGCCTTCTGCTTATATACTCCTCCCTTAGGCGGTTTAGTCCTTCCTTTTCGCCAAGATTCGAGTTTATCGGGAATCTTCCATTTATCTTGATCTTTCCATTTTCCTTGCGGAAATCTTCTATTTATCTTCAAACTTGACATTTATCTTCAAACTTGACACTTATATTCTTTCTGCGAGTAAATCGTCAAACCGTCATTGTATCTTTGGGCTAGACTTCATTTAAAATCGCGAGTGGGCTTTTATCGCGTTTTAGGACTGTTCGAGCCGTTTTGCGATAAAAACCGTTTTACAATTTTAGACGAGATCGTTTCCTGATACGATCCCGATTCTATAAGATTTCTTGAGTTAATTGTATAGTTTGAAAATGTACGATGTTCTGTCTAATTGTTGCCGTTTTATACGATCTTCCCGAATTCTTACGAGAAAAGAAGACTTTTACGATTTTTATCGTAAAACTCGAGTGGTGAGACGGATCGAGATGAAACGAGAGACGTTTCGACCATGGTTCAGAGAATGATCGAATTGAAGGACGTATGCCTTATTTCAAGGATGTGGGGGAGCAAGGCTCAGGACGGTCAGCTCGAACCGGGTTGGTTCAGCTCGCCGTACTGCGAGCTGCTTTGAGGCGACCAGCTCGCCGTACGGCGAGCTGCTTCGTGACCACCAGCTCTCCGTACGGCGAGCTGAACCGGCTGGTTCGGCTCGTCGTACGTTGAACTGGTTTGAACCTGCTCGCGATTTTTGGCGGATGCGGTCTTTTGCGTTTTTTCGCTTAACTTGGGAAATCGTGTAATTGGTGATTGTTTCGTTTGTTTTTCTGAGATGACAATTCCAAGTTTTCTGTGGATTTTCTTTGTTCACAAAGTCCTTAGAATTTTATAAAACAACTTCTCCTGTTTTATAAAACGTCTTTTTATTTTTGCGGAGACTTTTAGCCATTGATTCCGTCGTGACCGATTTTGACACCAACAATGAAGCGAGCAGTGTTGTTTTCCCACATCGATCGATTCATAACTCGCGGAGGAGAAACCTTAAGCTTTGGTCGAGGGGGATGAAGCGACCAAGCTTGGCTTCATGGAGTGGTTGTTTTGGGCTGGTCGGGATGAAGGTTTGGTCTGGCACCGAGAGGAAAGTATCTAGCACTTTGTTTTCTCCATCAATCGCTTCATCAGCTTCGAATGTTGAGAGGAGGCCTGGCGCCAAGAGCAACAGATATAAATTACCCATATAAATACTACACAAGCTAGAATCCATACATTGATACTAGTAATCAGGTAGATTTGGTCCCGAGCATCCAAGATCACCAAAATATTGTCCATACAAATTTGGTGTAGCAGAAGATTGTTGTTACTCTTTCCTTTTATGTATGATTATTGCTTGCTCAGATCGAATGAACTCACGTGTGTGATCATTCTCAATAAAGCTTAAACTTGTTTGAAATATTTTATTTTCTTGATCTATTTCTTTTAGGGCTAATTTTTTGGCTTGATTTTGTATATACATTTGGATGATCTCGTAATTTTTTTCTCTAGATGTTGCACTTTCTTTTAAGAAATTAAGGATTTGCTCATTTGACGAAACCAAAGTAGCAATAGATGAGTTCTTACATTCTTCAAGTTTTATTTTGAGTTTTGCTTTCTTCGATCCGATGGGACGTTGTAATGAATTTGATCCACCATTATCACTGCTTAAATTGATAGAAAATGAAGAAAGCCTTGGAGATTGTGATGTTGGAGAGCTGAGAATTTCATTCTCATTATCTGGAGATTGTGATGCTTTCCCGTCTCGAGCTCTTTGGGTTTCACGAGCTCACACATGGACAACTTTTGATCTTTTGCATCTTTGGTCCTTTAATTCTTGACAAATTACGGTTCGACCCTAAAACTTCTGTTTGGTGCTGATTAACCCCCAATTTCGATCCAAAACTTATTGTGCATTCCAGTCCACTGTTTATGAAATATGTACAAATGCAACATAGAATGACACCTTAATGCAGCTCTTAGACACTAAAATGACTAAAAACAAATGTTAAAAACATGTAAAAATGCTATATATCAACAATCGACGCCCACATCCAGACTCCAACTTTTGCCCATTTATGGGTTTTCTTCACTTTAAACTCCATTTTGCTCTATAGTCTCCAAAATGCTCCAAAATGCACCTAAATCTGAAAATAACCTAAACAGATTAGAAATGCATTTATGTCGGCTCGAACTATTATCAGTGTTATAAAAAAAAAAGATTAGAAATGCATAATAAAGATTCTACAATGACTGATGTCATAGCCTAAAACTGGTAAAAACTAAGGCCTATCATCGACGGGGAACGTTGCCATCTTGTCGATATGCTCTTCGTCCTTGAGTTCCTGTGAAGCTCATGCATAACCTCAGAACTTTTATCATCGCCACTCAAAGCTGAAGGAATTGAAGGACCAAGCTTTCCGCGCTTTAACCCATCAGCGGTCCCGCATGCAGATTTGTCAAGATAGGAACATGCCAAATGAAATCAACCGCCAGCGAAGGGAACAAATATCTCCCACCAAAACTAGTGTATGTCATCTCTGGAGAACGAATCAACAATGAAAGATCTTCTTCAATGGAAAGGGTGCAGAAAGTGATAAACGCACAAGGAAATAAAAGTAAGAGACTGGAGGGGCGCAAGGAAACTATTTCTAAAGGAAATTGAAGGAATGACCTCGGATAAAAAAAGAGAAAAAAAAAAGCAAAAGAACTATGTACAAGAAAGGATACTTTCAAAAGAACATTTAAATTTACACATTTTTAAACACAAATTATACTTTCACTCTTTTGTTATGATTATTTTTATAAAATTTTATTTACATACAAAATAATTAATTTATTAAATGATTTAAAATGATCGATCAACAAATATAAATTAAATAAAAATAACTTTAAAATAAATAAAATAAATTATTTATTTTAAAGTTATTTTTATTTAATTTATATTTGTTGATCGATCATTTTAAATCATTTAATAAATTAATTATTTTGTATGTAAATAAAATTTTATAAAAATAATCATAACAAAAGAGTGAAAGTATAATTTGTGTTTAAAAATGTGTAAATTTAATTGTTATGTATTTAGCATAGCACCCCTTCGGCCCCCGACACGTTCACACCCTTTTGGTCCCGACACGTTCACACCCTTTCAGTCCCGACACGTTCGCACCCTTTCGGTCCCGACACGTTCTCACCCTTTCAGTTCCAACACGTTCGCACCCTTTCGGTCCCGACACATTCGCACATTTTCGGTCCATACACGTTTGCACCCTTTCGGTCCGGGCACGTTCGCACCTTTTCGGTTCTGAACCGTCCGCAGCACCTTTTCGGTCCGGACATGTTGGCAGCCTCTCCGTCCTGATACGTTTTCACCCTTTCGGTCCTGATATGTTCGCATCTTGAAAGAAGAGTTGCCAAATATTTGATGACATCAACAATCCTTCCAAAGAATATTTTTGATCCGTTAGATTATTTAAAATATGACATCAACAATCCTTCCAAAAAGTATTTTTGATCCGTTAGATCTTAAACTCAAATAATTTTTGACAGTTGGATTGAATTTTTTTCCTATAAAAAAATACTGATATCAGAAGTGGTTTACTATTATATATAGATTGATCTCTAAAGTTGATTACCGGTTTTAGACTTCAACACAAAATTCAACTAATTTTATCAATAAGTACCTGCCCCAGATATCACCTTATCAAATGAGATATGCGTGCCGCATATGCTTGTGGTATATACTACAAACATCAGATTCCTCATTATAGTTTGTATTAAGTCGTATAACACTAAAATAATTAATAATATAGTTTTTTTTTTTGTCACTGTAATTAATAATATAGTTTGTTAACTTTAATTTGGCAACAGAGATTCATTTTTTTATTTGGTTAAAAATATCTATATATATGTCAGGTCAATAATATTCCATCTATATTTCAAGACGGGATCAAGACATCCCCCAATCAAAACAGCTTCAAGAGAAAAAGAAAAAAAAAAGCTAAAAATCTGTCTTCAATCAACAAAATGCGTGCATTGCGACCTTTGTTCCCAAAATTTGGGTTGGAGTCGATGGGAGAGTACGAGAGCGACAACCTCGTCGAGGATAACCATAGTAACTGCACGTTTCTTGATTATCAGACCAGTTTAGGGATTTCTGAATCGTCAGAGGGAAATAGAATAAACAACAATTCAGTCGTGATCAAGAAGCTTATTCACAATGCTAATGAGCGTGGCCGTCGCAAGAAAACCAACACTTTGTTCTCGTCTCTTCGTTCATGTCTTCCAGGCCAGGATGAGCCGGTAAGGAGCTACTCTGATATGTCATTTGAATACGTTTCATATCATATCGTATTTGGTACTATTTTGGAGAAAAAATGTCTTATCAACCCTTTCTCTTTTCTCATGGCTTTATTTTATTGGAAAAGAAGCTAAGTATTCCTCAGATTATATCAAGGAGCGTGCAGTACATACCGGAGCTGAAAGAACAAGTGAAGAAGCTAATACAAAAGAAGGAAGACCTCTTGTTGCGAGCACCGGGTCAAAGAGAACGTTACGTTATGCCGCAGCCAAAGGTAGTTTCTAGTCATGTCTCCACCGTTTTTGCGACTGAACTTAGAGACAGCGAAGTGATGGTCCAAATCTCATCATTCAAGATTCATAATTTTTCGATTTATAATGTGTTGAGTGGGCTAGAAGAAGATGGGTTTGTTCTCGTGCATATTTCATCTTCGAGTTCTCGAGGAGAACTACTGTTCTACACTTTGCATCTCCAAGTGGACAAGATTGATAATCACAAGCCAATTTGCGTTGAGCTAAGTCAGAAGATCTTGTACTTGTATGAGGAATGTGGAAACTCGTTTAAATGAGAATTTGTTCTTGTTCCGTTTGAGCTGTGTCGTCCTTATCTTTAAATAATCTGTCATTCTTGACCAATGCGTTGTAGACTTGTAATCGAGTTGTTTCTGTTGTTTAATCGAACTAATGATCGAATACTAAGTGATGTAAAATTTAGTTTCCATCTACACTTTCGTTTAACAATAGCAGTTATAATTGATGTAAATAAATTTTTCGTGCCAAAACCTTAATTTTTCCTTCTGCTTTTGATTAAAGTCACAAAGTTATAACAAAAATGTAGCTACTATTTTGCGACTATGATATTTTAATTACATAAGTAACAAATTTATAACTGTTCATATAAGACTAAATTTTAGTTGAAACTATGTTGCTCTTTTTATTTTAATTTGTGACTACATAATTTAGTTGCAAAGGAGTTACCAATGCATCCCTAAGTAACAACTAAATTATTACGGCTAGTTTTAGTCGCAAAATTGCAACCAAAGTGCAACTCATTAATCACATAATAGTTGCAAATCCGTTAGAAGTTAGAATCACAACTACAAACCGTAGTCGCAATTGTAGTCACTAAATTAATTTTCTTTTGTAGTTAATCAATGCAGACTTCCTGGGGAATTTCGAAATTTTCATAATTAGTAAAGTCAAACAATAATTTTAATCATACGATAAGGAATCAGTTGGTCCATGAATAAAAAATGTCTGTAGAAACATTAAAATTTGGGGTTTTAATAAGGAAACTAGATCATGATCGGTGCATCCGCACAGATTTTATTTTTCGGATATATTCTATATAATTTAGTTTTATATACTTTTGAGGTTGTCTAATTTGATTTTATGTTTAACAACAATATCAAAAGTTTCTTTTGTATTAATAGCGTCAATCAGTGTATTATGTAGATGTAATCGTGCATTGAAAATATTAATTATGTACATTTGTTCGAATACAAAATCAAATTCAAACTTAATTGTTTGCGTTAAAAAATAAATTGAGAGTTTGATTACTTTTGATTTAATATTTTTTTTTGTCAACTGCCTATCTAAACTAGATCAAGTGGTGACCAGTCGAGCCGATTCTCCTAAGAGGATCTCCGTCTGGCCGGGTCTGATCTATATGGGAAAATGTTTATCCTCTATTCCTTGCTTCTTTTGCGAGCACGTCTACTCGACCATTCCTACTTCAGAGATTTTGAGACAGACTCACATCTTCGAAGACTTCCTGTAATCTCTGAAACACTTCTGATGTTAATGATTATACAAATATTTTAAAATAATATAAAAATTTCTAAATTTTTGGCATTAACCTTTATTTTATAGGCTATGTCAAATTTAACTTAACTTCGGTCTTAACTTTAAAAGCGTACAATATTTTATAATGAAAAATTTCATAAATAATTAACAAATATTTTGTTAATTTGAATGAATTTATATATTTAAAATATTTTTACATTTAAATCAGTATTTTTAAACTCAATCCGAACCGGGGTTAAACCGGTGATCCGATAATTTAACTTTGGTTTTTACAAATATCCATATTTTAAAAATCACTAAATCTGAGACTAACCGATTGAACCTATGGATAACTGGTATGTAATATTTAAAGCTGTAAAAAACTAAGTTTATTTTCATTGTTTTATATATTATTTGAATTTATAAATATATCTATATATTTTTCTGAAAAAAACTATAAGATGAGATTTAAAATATCTTAAAACTAAAACTAGACAACAACAATATTACAACATGGTATTTTTTGTAATTTAATATATAATTATATATTTATATTTAATGTAACATTGTAAGGATCAAAATGCAAATAAAAATATGAAACTTCAAATTTGAAGTTTGTGTGGTGACACTCTATATTTGAATTTTGAAGTTTCCCTACTCAAAATTTTAAATTTAAAGTTTTAGAATTCATTTTTGGAGATCAAAAAATTTCATATTTGAAGTTATATAATTTCTTTTGGAGACGTTCTTATACCCTTTTCAGTTATTTGTTTATTCTTAATATCCTAGATTTTCCTATTTTTTATTACTTCATGGTAATATTTAAGTAATATAGGAGGTTAATCTGTGTTTCACACAGAAATTTCCTTGCATTTAGTATTTTATTAAAAAAAATTATATATTAAAAGGTTTGGTTACATATTATGTATGAATCAATATTTCAGTGATTGCTCTTCTTTATTGAAATTCACTTTCATTGCAGTTAACTAAATATTATAATATGATTATTAAGTTTATTTTAGGGAAAATTATAATTTTACCATGTCATTAAATTATTATTTTTATCTTATTATTTTTTTAAAAAAATTGAGCTTTGTGACTAAATATGGTAAAATCTTTTTTTTAACTCGCTCTTTTTATTTTTGTTTGATGAAACTTGAAAAAAATATCATAAATTGATTTTCCTATTTTTAATTTTAATTTTAAATTTTATTTTTGAATTTATGTATTATTTACTAAAATATTATTTTTAATTAATATCAACTTTTTGTTGGACTAACAATAAATTATTTTTTAAAAAAACAAATTATGGATTATTAAATAATTTTATAAAAATATTTGGTCTAGAGAATTAGGTGCTGAAAAATGTAGAGTAACTAATAAAAATAAAAGTGATGGTAAAATTTTTAAATAACTTGTCTTGATGAGATGTAATCAAAACAAAAGATTTAAATTTATTGATATAGATAACATATGACAGAAGATTTGAAAATTTTGCAAAAATGGCTCAAAACTCCAAATCAAATACAAAATTATCTCCTTTTTGGACGTTTCATTTGTCACATTCACCCAGAAATTTTGATTATTTACGAAACTATTATTATTATTTTTTTCAAAAAATTAGTGTTTTACTCTATCTTATTCATCAATTAATCACGAAAATATCATTGTCATCAATTCACCCAACAACCACCAACAACCAATATGAAACTCCAAATGCATTTAAAAACAAAATTTACTCATTCTTTCTCATATCTTATGTACAAAAACTACATCTCTCTCACTTTCTCTCTATATTCATCAAAAAAGCTCAAGCTTTTTGATTCTAAAGTTTTTAAGTTTATATAGCCATTCAAGCTAATGATTCCTGATCATTAACGATTGGTTAGTTGTCGTGGTGAAGTTATGTGTGCTTGGTGAACAAATAAGCAAGTTTTTCACTGGTTGAAGGTAAAAATCAATTTTTTTTTCCCAGATCTGTTCTCAAGAAGACTTACGTGTAAGTCTTCTTGACAGAGATGACGTACACAGAAATCTTCTGCTCAAAGCATATGTTAGTTTTGCAATTGAATTTTTGTATGTTTTTAAGCATACGTTAGTTTTGCAATTGAATTTTTTTATGTTTTTAAGAGGACACTTTCCTAGAAGTTTTCCAACTTTTCTTCTTTGACAACAAAAAATCGAGAAGACTTCCCTGATAAACAAGTTAGTTTTTTAATTGACCGAAATGTGTTGGAAATTTGATTTTCTACCTCAGATTTCCCGGTTAGTCTTCCGGTGGAGGACTTCCACAAAAGTCTTCTCAACTTTTACATTATTCTCACTGTCGTTGGAAGTCTGCATAGGTTACTTTTGCAATTAAAATTTTAACTTAAACATTTAATTTAAACTGGAAGACTTCTAGGTAAATCTTCCGCCGGAAGACTTAGGTGGAAGTCTTCCAGATTTTTTTCTGTGATTCTGGTCAAAACTTAAGGTAATGAAAGAAGACTTTTAGCCGAGAAAGTCTTCTCAACAAAAGCAAATATAGTCAATTGCAAAATTAACCTACAGAGATTTCCATCAACCGTAAGCATACTTAATGTAAAAGTTGAGAAGACTTTCATGGAAGTCTTCCGCTGGAAGACTTACAGGAAATCTTCTATAGAAAGTTAAATTTCTGACATAATTCGGTCAATTGCAAAACTAATATTTTATCTGAGAAGACTTAGTATTTTCAAGAATTTTTTAAATTACAAAAGTAAAACAATATTTACAAAGGAAACTTCCTTAGAAGTCTACTATAGAGGAGACTTTTTTGGAAGTCTTCCTTTTATAAATTTCCAATTGCAAAAATAACCTAAATGGAAGAATTCCACGAAAGTCTTTTACGACAATGTATAACAAACTTTTATTTCTTCAAATTTAAAATTTTTTTTAAAGATTTTATTGTTAATTCATGTGTTTTAGATAATATTTGAGGTCCTGAATAAAATTCATAACTTAATTGATGATAATTTAGAGATTACCAACATTTTTGTTTTTTAATGTTTTTAGCTAATCTGAGAAGACTTATTAAAAAATCTTCTCTCTGAACACGTTACTTTTTGTAAACTTTTATTTTTAAGATTGTTAAGTAATTTTTAAGATAATTCTTTTAACTATTAAACTTCTTAATTCATTTCAAGAAAATTATAATATGTACATGAAATCGATATTGGAAGAGTTAGCCTACTTATTATGTCTTAATTGTTTATAATTACAAAGTTTTCTGGTTTTACTTCTTAAAAGATTTTGTTGGTTTTTCTTCTTAAAAGTTAAAAGTGATAAATAACTATTGTAAGTTAATGAGATATAGTTGTTTATAGTTACACACTTATATTTTTTCCAGAGTATGGGAGATCTAAAGACTAGACAAACTACACAATGAACATCATGTTTTGAATCTAAAGGCTATTGAAGTTTTTAATTTCATTGATTTGTAAAAGTGGAAAACACATTGTTAGCACATATATTATATCTTGAGAAACATCATTACTAATTTTACAAACATAGAACCATACTCTTTTCTACTCTTGTTTACTTTAATAATCAAAACAGAAAAAAATTCAAAAAAACAATGTTATAAAGCTTAAATAATAACTAAAACAATCACATTATGTTGAATCTATAACTTATTAGAATCTAACTTATAAATGACACAAAAATTACATATCCAAAATTTATAAATCTACCTTTAAATTAGTGAAAGATGACAACTATGTAATGAAAAACCTGCAAAAACAAGATACAATAGTGAGAAACACATAAAAATGAGAAGTTGATATAAGGTTTGTTGTTATCAAATTCAAATAGTTTAGAAAGAGG